CACGACGCCATCACCGGCACCGCCAAGGAGGCCGTGGTGGTTGACTATGGAGTGCGGTGCGTGCGGGTGGCAGGGCGCGGCCCCAGGGTCTGTCTTGGGCAGGGGCCAGTGCACGTGGGGCTGGGTAGGGGAGTGGGAATGGGAGTGGGAATGGGAGTGGGAATGGGTATGGGAATGGGTATGGGAATGGGGGCCCGTGGGTTGTGGCTCACTCTGCACAGTACTGTGCCCCAGGCTGCTGCATTCCCTCACCAACCTGAAGCGTGTAATCATCAATGCTGCACATTACCTGGTGCTGGGGGACAAGGACACGTACCGCTACGACCCCGCCACGCTTTTCCTCAGTGCGGTGAGCTGCACTGCCTGCCTGATGTGGGCTGGGGGCTCTGGGGAAGTGTCACATCCCTGAGCCAGGCTGGGCTCACAGGGACCCCCTGGCTGTGACTCACACCTCTCCTCAGGATGACACGCGACTCAATCAGGACTCGCTCCCAGAAAGAACGGTTGTCAAACTGGATGCCTCGCCACGGTAGGGCTGCGTCTTGCTGCCTGAAGCTGGGTCTTGTGTTTGGGGTTTATGGGCATATGGCACCGCTGGGTGCTGCAGAGCATGGGGCACACAGAATGCCATGAGCTGAGTGTGGCCATCCTGTGCAACCCCACCCCACAGATTCCTGGTGGTGTTCAACCCACTGGAGCAGGAACGCCTGAGCCTGGTGCCTCTGCTGGTGAACTCTCCACACGTGCGTGTGCTGTCTGAGAACGGGCAGCCGCTGCCTGCCCAGCTCTCTGCACACTGGAGCTCTGCCACCGATGCAGTGCCTGACACCTATCAGGTAGGGGGTGCCCCGCTGCCCACTGTTGCCACGGGGCCCTGCCCTGCCGGCAGCAGCACTCGAGTGCCCTCCATGGAGCTGCTGGCTCAGGGCTCCTGCTGCCCTCAGCTCTCCATCCTCGCCCGCCTGCCTGCGTTGGGGCTGCGTGTGCTGCAGCTGCAGAAGTCCTTTGATGGCCACAGCACACTGCAGTCCTCTGTGCGTCTGTACCTGCACGGCCGGGACGTGACTGTGCGCCAGCAGGAGGCTGTCCCCGTGCAGGTCTTCCCGGCCGCCCCTGATGACTTCTGCCTGGAGAGTCAGCACCTGCGTAGCTGCTTCTCGGGCAGCTCAGGCCTGCTGCAGGTGGGTGCAGGTCCAAAGATTGAAAGAGGGTGGGTGCCTCAGCGCTGCCTCATGTGAGGGGAGCTCATTGCTGTGCCACCTTCACCCTGCAGAGCCTCCGCTGCGCTGGGGAGGAGCGGGAGCAGCGGGTGAGCACTGAGTTCTTCATCTACGGCACCCGGACTTCCAAGGACAAAAGCGGAGCCTATCTCTTCCTGCCTGATGGCGAGGCCAAGGTACGGGGCTCTCTGGGGAGCGTGGCTGGCAGTCATGCCCACGGCCATGAGACAGTCCTGGAGCAGCAGACTCAGCGCAGCCCTCCTTCCCCACAGCCCTACACCCCCAAGGACCCCCCCATTGTGCGAGTGACGGAAGGTCCGCTCTTCTCTGAGGTCTCCAGCTACTACCAGCATGTCCAGACCGTGGTGCGACTCTACAATGTGCCAGGTGAGATGATGTGAGGCTGTGAAAGGGAGGTCCGGGGCATGGGGTGATTCTGCCCACAGGGCCCACCCTCACTGCTGCCCGCAGGGGTGGAGGGGCTGTCCCTGGACGTGTCATGCCTGGTGGACATCCGTGACCATGTCAACAAGGAGCTGGCCATGCGCTTCAGCACCAACATCGAGAGCGACGACACCTTCTTCACAGACCTCAACGGCTTCCAGGTGTGCCAGCAGGATGGGGAGGGATGGAGTTGCCCACAGGGACGGTGCCCTGCTGCTGAGCCCCCTGACCCCATCCCTCGGCAGATCCAGCCCCGCAGGTACCAGCAGAAGCTGCCGCTGCAGGCCAACTTCTACCCCATGCCTGCCATGGCCTACATCCAGGACACGCAGAGCCGCCTGACGCTGCACACAGCGCAGGCCCTGGGGGTCTCCAGCCTGGGCAGTGGTGAGGCAGGGCTGTGGGGCTGTCGGGGCCATGCAGGGCGGCCGGCCGGTGCTGAGCCGGGGCATGGGCTCTTTGCAGGCCAGCTGGAGGTGATCCTGGACCGGCGCCTCATGCAGGATGACAACCGAGGCCTGGGCCAAGGGCTGAAAGACAACAAGCGGACCTGCAACCGGTTCCGCCTCCTCCTGGAGCGCCGCAGCAGCGCCAGCAAGGTGCCTGGGCAGGGTGTGGGGGTCAGGCAGTGTCACTCAGAGCTTGTGGTGGTGTGGAACACATGGGCACCAGTGTGTGGATGGCTGCAGGGTATGCGGCCGTGCCCAGGGTGTGTGTGTGGGGGGGGCGGGATGGCTGTCCTGCTGCAGGGGCATGCTGTCATCACGCTGCTCATCGTGGTGTTCTCGTCCTGTCACCTTGTTGCTCTCCATCCTTGCACACTTTCACCCGTTCAGAGCTCCAGCTTCTTTTCCAAACTGGCCTCCGTGCTTAAAGCCTTGGGCTTCCCTGGCTCCAGGACCGGCAGCCCCGAGGTAACGGCCGGCCCGGCCTCACCGTTGCTCCCAGTCTCGTGCACTAGCTGCTAGCCTCTAGCCTAGCCGGCCCGTAGCGGTTTGTAGTCCGACCATCAGGCTGCACGGCCTGTGGCCATTTGGGTGACGAGGAGGGAGAGGCTGCGCATGGCGGGGGGTCCGGGTGCCTGGTGCCAGTTCTCTAAGGAGCTGGAGGCCCCGTGGCCCCGGCGCTGCAGCCGGACTGCCAGTGCTGACTGTGCTTCTTGCAGGTACAGGACGGCCGCCCGGTCAGCTTCCCCTCGCTGCTGAGCCACCTCACCTCCATGCATCTGAATGCCGAGGCCCTGGTCCTGCCAGTGGCTCAGCAGCCGGCCCTGCCAGCCCTGCGCTCCTTCGCACCCCTCTCCACAACCCTCCCCTGCGACTTCCACATCCTCAACCTGCGGACGCTGCAGGCAGAGGTGAGTTGTGGCCCTGTGCTGCGTGAGGACGAGTGACCCTTGGGCTGTTGCTGCCCAGTGTCGTGCCTTTCCCATGCTCCTGCAGGACGACTCGCTGCCCTCGGCTGAGGCGGCCCTGATTCTGCACCGCAAAGGCTTTGACTGCAGTCTGGAGGCCAAGAATCTGGGATTTAACTGCACCACCAGCCAGGGCCAGGTAGGAGATGCACTGGGGCGCTCTGCTGTGCTTGCCGCAAGCATGCTGTTCTCCAGCCAAGCCAGGACAGGGGCAGGAGGGGCCTTCAGACCCCTAGCACCAACATCCCAGAATCGTTGGCTGTTCAGAGGTCCCACGCTGCAGCACCCAGCCAGCTCTGCCCTTTGCCCAAGCAAAACTGCAGGATGCACAGCAGGGGTCTGGAGCCTTGCATGGGCACTACATTCTGCAATGAGGAAGGGCAGAGCCTGGGCAGGGTCAACATGGTGCCCTGGGTGCTGAGGGGATGGGCAGCTGCTGGTAGGCATGGTGTGGGGCTGCCCCATCCTGCTCATCAGCAGCACCCCACTTGTCTCTCCATAGCTGGCACTGGGCAGCCTGTTCCAGGGGCTGGAGCTGAACTCCCTGCAGCCCACATCGCTGACCCTGATGTACCCGCTGGGCACAGCCTCCAACAGCACCAACATCCAGCTGAATCCCATGGAAATCGCCACTTTCCGCATCCGCCTGGGGTAGTGCCTGTCAGAGTAGGATGGGAGCAGAGTGGCTGCACGGCGTGGGAGCAGCAGTGCCAGCACAACCCACAGAGACCTGGCTACATGGCCCACAGCAGGCGATTGGTGCTCAGCAGGAGGTGCCAGACCTGCAGAGGCTGCTACCTTCTTATTTATTAGTTCTGTGTCCTCAGATAGATTTCAATGAACTGCCGTGGCAGGGCTGCACAGAGGCTTCTGGATTCTGGGCACAGAGGGCATGGGCTGGGCGCTACTTGGAGCGGAGAAGGGTGACAGTGGGTCAGCATGACGGACTCTCCCTTGCTGTGTTTGCACAGCTGCCTGGGATGGCACCCACCTAGAGCCTGGCTACCACAGCATAGCAACATGCAGGTACCAGGGGCCAGGCAGGCACTGTGGACTGGAACCTGAGCTCATCTGGAGCTTGTAGGAAATACGAGTCTGTTTCCAAGAGCCCTGGCCTGCGTCTGGTCTGTGCTTCTCACACCAGTGGGGCTGGTGAATGGGAGCGGTGCTCTGTGGGGATGGGGCAGACCTTGCTCCTGTGTACTGGTGGCGCTGCCAAACCCATCTGTTCTGTGGGGCCTCCGAGGCTGCAATAAGCTGCACTGTGTCCCGTTGCTGTGGATGCTGCACGCTGTGCCCCCTCTGGGGCTGATTATTATTGCTGGGGTGCTGCTGGGGAGGGCTGTGGTGCCCTCAAGGAAGGCCGGGCAAGGAGCTGGTGCTGGCTGAGCTCCTCGTTTTGCACCACACCACTCAGCACATGACCTGCATGACGGGGTGCAGAGCCATAGGATGAGGGGCTATTGGGCACAGAGCTTAGGGCTCTGGCCATTGGGTGCAGCTGGGGCAATGCCAGGAGGCTGGTCCTGCCCATCCACAGGCACCCAGCAGCGGCTCTGTCACAGCCCAGCTAGTGGCACAGCTTGGGGGGGACCCAGGGGTAGGCTGCCCTGCTGCCTGAGGCTGTGGCACAGCGTGCCCACCACCCTGCACCGCTGCCCAGCCCTCAGCCATGAGCCCAGCAGGGCCAAGTGCCTGACTGGCACGGTCAGGGCTGTGTCCCGCTGCAGGGTGGGTATGGTGCCCGTGGCCCCTTGCACAGCCCTAAGAAGCTCATTAGCGATGCTCCCGCCTCCTGCCCACCGTCCCTGTGGAGCAGGGCACTAAGTGCAGGCTCTAATGGTTGCGAGGCTCCTGATGGGCCGCGCTGGAGGCGGGCGCAGGAAGGGCTGCGGTTTCTGCCTCAGCTGCCTCACCCCAGTATGGCGGGGAAGATGCTGGGTGGGCTCCTGCTCCTCGCTGCAGCTCCTGGTGTCCTTGGCACAGGTATGGCCTCTTGCCCGCCTCGTGAGGTGGGGGCAAGAGCCTCGCATCCCCCGCGCTGCTCCTGGGCTGCATCCCCTGGGTGTTCCCCGTGTCCCCGGGCGGAGCCGTGCCGGTCAGGGCCGGGGGACGATGGTCTGCACTGGGGGTGCTGATCGTGCAGAAGCTGGTCCTGGGCAGCACGCGGGGTGGGAAGAACTGGGGGAACCGGAGCTGGGCCAGGGCTGCTCCTGCCTGCATTAGCTCACACGGGCGCTACGCCCCCGGCCCCGCTGCTGCCACCGCAGCCTCTTTACAGAAGCTGCACCTGTGTGAGGGCTATGCGGGCCCTGACGGTCGCTACCACCCCGGCTTCTACTGCCCACGCCTGACGGACCCGGCCACGCACCGCTACTGCTGCCAGCCCGGCCCCCACGCCCTCAAAGGCTGCTGCTCACGGCTGCGCGTGGAAGCGCTCACCGGGCTCAACATCAGCGGGCTGCCCGCGCCCGGCCTGCTGCGGTGAGCGGGGCTGCGGGGCGGTGCGGGGCGGTGGCGCCGAGGAGTGCCCGGTGCTGATCGTCCCCGCCCCGCAGGCACCCCCTGGCGCTGCCCTTCGTGGGGCTCTACGGGCTGCTCGTGCTGCTCCTCGTGGCCCTCGACCTCGCCCACTTTTACCGCACCCAGCGCTGCGCCCTCGGCCGCCGCCTGCCCCGTGCCCGCTGCCTGCCCTGCCGCTCCCCCAGCCCCGCAGCCGCGGCACCGCGCGCTGCCGGCGGAGGGTCGTAGGGTCCCGGTGCCCAGTGCGGGGTGGGGGAGGGCAGAAAAGGGGCGCGGGGAGGGAGGGGGGAACGAGGGGATAAAGGGGCCGGGGGGGGCAGCGGGGTGGGGGCATACGTGGGCATCTCGGGGGGGGACAAGGAGGCGCGCGGGGTCACGGCGGGTCGCGCGTGGGGTCACGGGGGGGACGCTCTCACGAGGCCGCACGTGGCCGGCGAGCGCACCGCCGGGCCGCAGGGGGGCGCTGTAGGCCCTGCGTCGCCACACCGCCGACGCCCTCCGTCACGTGATGTGGAGTCGCCGTCCGGGTTCCCCCGGCGACGGGCGGTGACGTCACGGGCGTGGCGAAAGCGGCGAGAGCGGCGAGATGGAGGAGGCGGTGAGGGAGCGCCGGGCCGGGGGGGGAACGGGGCGGCCGGGGGAACGGAGCCACCGCGGGGCCTCGTCGGGCTCCATGCGGGTATCGGACTCTGCTCTATGCTGTCCGGTGCCGTTGGCAGGTGACGGCGGGGCAGCTCCGGGAGCGCGGCAACGCGCTGTTCCAGGCCGGGGATCACGGCGCGGCCCTCGCCGCCTACACGCGGGCGCTGAGCCTCTGCCAGGCCGAGCCGGAGCGCGCCGTGCTGCACCGCAACCGCGCCGCGTGTTACCTGAAACTGGTGAGAGCGGCAGAGCGGGGAGCTGCCCGGCGGGACGGGACGGGACGGGCTCGGCTCTGTGCAGCGCTGCCCGGCGGGCCCCGGGACGGGCCATCTTCCCTCTGCGCCTCTTTTCTCCCGGCCCCGCTGGTGGCTGATGTTCTGCCTCACTGAGCTGCTGTTTGTGTCGGGGGCTGCGGGTGCCCTGGGTTGCTCCTCGGGCGGTCTCGGATCTCTGGTTTTCTGTCGGGTTTGTGGGGCAGAGTGCGGTGAGCTGCAGGGGCTCGGGTAGGGGTTCAAGAAGTGTCGAGGCGACGGGGACTGTTGGGGACCCCGCGTGGGCCGTGCTGTGGGAGGGGCAGGCATGCCGCTGTGCTGCTTTCCAGCACTCCATGGCATTGTTTCCATCCCTAAACTCCGCGGCTGTTTCCTTGCTCCTTCTTTCCGAAGCAGTGGGCACAGCGGGTGGGGGTGAGTGCAGCCACCATGGCAGCGTGCTGAGATTTCCTTCTCACCGACTCTCTTTGCAGGAGGATTATGCCAAGGCAGAGGCAGATGCATCTAAAGGTACTGTCAGGTGTGGCAGGGGACCGCCTTCCACACGCTGCTCCCTGGGGCGGGCTGGAGCCTCTGTGACGGCTCCCTCACTCCTCTGCAGCCATTGAAGCCGATGGCCGGGATATGAAGGCGCTGTTCCGTCGGAGTCAGGCACTGCAGAAGTTGGGCCGTTTGGACCAGGCTGTCAGCGACCTGCAGAGGTGTGTGAGCCTGGAGCCCAAGAACAAAGCCTTCCAGGAGGCCCTGCGCGCCCTGGGGAGCAGCATGCATGAGAAGGTGAGAAGTGGGTGGTGCGGGGGCTGCTGTGTGCCCTCTGGGTGCAGTAGGTTCAAGGGAGCGGCGAGGGCTGAGCTGCGCTTCCCAATCTGCCTCAGATGAAGACCATGTCCTGTACAGACTCGAAGGTGGAACAGATGTTTCAGATTTTGCTGGATCCCCAAGAAAAGGATGTGGACAGGAAGCAAAAGGTCTGAACTCCAGGACACACAAGGTGGCTTGGGTGGAAAGAACTGTACTCTCAGGTCAGCGCTGCTGGCTGAACTTTTCTGTCCTCTGGAGGTTGGGCTTCCTGCCAGCAGAATACCATCCTTGGAGACTGGGAGTGGTGATTGGGTGCTTGTGGCTGCTTTGGCTGCCCTGTGGGCTCCCTGCTGGTGAGTTCCCTGTGTGCAGGGAGCTCTGTTCTGGTGGGCTGGTGACCCCAATGCATCTCTCCTTTTGCAGGCTGCGCAGAACCTGATTGTACTGGCACGAGAAGAGGCTGGAGCAGAGAAAATATTCCAGAGTGATGGAGTGCGGCTCCTGACGCAGCTGCTTGACACAGCCAAGGCTGACTTGATGCTGGCGGCCCTGCGCACGCTGGTGGGGCTGTGCTCTGGGCACCGCTCCCGGGTAGGTTACACCAGAGCCCAGCTCTCCTGTGTGAGGAATCCTGGAGCAGGGGGTGTCCACACTGGGAAGGCTGTGAAGTTTATCAGGCCAGGGAACATTGCTGTCTGTGTCAGGCCACAGCCCTGCTGACCAGTGGAGCTTTGATTTGTTAGTTGCCAGGCTTGAGCTGTCAGAGCTGATGAGGTGCTGGGGAGTGCCAGTTTCCTCAGTCTCCTGAAAACGCCTCTGCTTCCACCTACAGTCCATGGCCATCTTGACAGAGCTGGGGTCCTCGCGTCTTTCAGCAGTGCTGGGTGTGGAGCACGAGCAGGTTTCCTTGGCTGCCTGCAACCTCCTGCATGTGATGTTCGATTCTCTGAAGGAGGGGATGCAGAAGGACTTCCGTGGCAAGGAGGATGCAGTGGTGCTGGGTGAGTGCCTGCTGCCCCAGCTGGCTGATGTGGTGCAGGGAGGACCGAGGGAGCTTTGTGCTGCTGCTTACATTGCCGCAGCTCCCTTCCATGGGGCCTGGATTAATGTGACCTTGAGATGGGGGTCAGGAGCCCCTTGTCCCGACAGCATGGCTTGCCAGCCTTACTGTGATGGGGTGAGGCCTGTGTGCAGGGCACTGACTGCTGGCACTGTCTCTCCTGGAAGATTCCTCCAAGGAACAGAAAGTGCTGATCAAGGACCTCCTGGAGCTGCTATCTCTGGAAGGGGCCTCTGCTCACGGCCGTGACAATGCCCTTAACTTGCTCATCAAGGTGGTGCCCAGGAAGTCACCAAAGGATATCAACAACAGCATGAGCCTTTGGGTGATCGACCAGGGTGAGTGAAACAGGCTGCACCTCACTGGGGCAGCGCACCCCTCTGCCTTGGGGTGCTGTGTGCTTTGGTTCTTTGTACCTCATCAGGCACCTGAGCTCTAAGTGCTCCTAGGCCTGAAGAAGATCCTGGAGGTGGGAAGCACTGTGTGTGGGGCTCCGGGCAGTCTGCCTGTGACAGAGAACAGCAGGATGAGTGCCTCAGTCCTTCTGAGTAAGCTTTATGATGACCTGAAATGCGATGCCGAGAGGGAGAACTTCCACCACCTGTGTGAGGACTACGTGAGGTGAGCCTGGGGTTCCCTGGGGCTGCGTAGGACCGAGTCCTTCTCGGTCAGGAGCTTTTTGCTGCTGTTTCTGTCTCCGCTGTAAGTGACAGCACTCCTATTTCTGGACTTCTTGCTTTTACTGGTGAAAGTGGAATGCAGACCACCTGCGACCTGCAGAGCTTGGGGTCTGTCAGGGCAGGGCTTCGAGGGGCTGGAGGCAGCATTTGGGATCAGCCTCGTCCTTCTGAATGTTCTTCCACTGCAGGAGCTGGTTCGAGGGGCAGGAGCTGGCTGGGAAGCTGCGGGCCATCCAGACAGTGTCGTGCCTGCTGCAGGGCCCCTCGGAAGCTGGGAACAGGGTGCTGGAGCTGGAGGGGATCATGGACAGCATTCTGTCCCTCTGCGCCTCCGTCCGCGAGGCCCACCAGCTGGTAGCAGTGGAGGCTCTGATCCACGCCGCTGACAAGGCCAAGCATGCCTCCTTCATCACTGCCAACGGGGTCAGCCTGCTCAAGGAGATCTACAAGCACAGCGAGAGGGACAGCATCCGCATCCGTGCGCTGGTGGTGAGCGCAGCGGGGCGGGAGGAGCGGCTGCACTGAGCTGCTGGGCAGGGCTGGGCTTTGCGGCCATCTTTACTGGCTGGGGGCTCTTACAGCTCCGTCTGGGACATCGCGGCCTTCCCTGCTCTGACGCTCTGCTTCTGGCCACAGGGGCTGTGCAAGCTGGGATCTGCTGGAGGCACCGACTTCAGCATGAAGCAGTTTGCCGAGGGCTCCACGATGAAATTAGCCAAGCAGTGCCGCAAGTGAGTGCTGAGAACTGTGGGCTGTGATGGGAGCAGGAGCTGGGCGGGCGCTGCAGTGTGGGCTGACGGGGGCCATCTTGCAGGTGGCTGTGCAATGAGGCCATTGATGCCGGCACGCGGCGCTGGGCTGTGGAGGGCCTGGCTTACCTCACATTTGATGCTGACGTCAAGGAGGAGTTTGTAGAGGACAAGGCAGCAATGCAGGCCATGTTTCAGCTGACGAAGGTGATTGCTGAGCACTGTGGTGGGGGGACCTGTGTTGGGGGAATACTGGTGCTGGAGGAATGTGTCCACCTGCCCCTCCTGCTGGAGAGGGTCGTGGGGCTGTGGCTGGGGTGTGTGGAGGGGCCTGGTGCTGCTGACTGGGCTCAAGCCCATGTGTGTCCCCTGCCGTGGCTGCAATCAGTGCTCGGTTACCTTTGCAGTCAGAAGATAGAAGCGTTCTCTATGCTGTTGCTTCCACGCTGGTGAACTGCACCAACAGCTACGACCATGAGGAGCCAGACCCACAGATGCTGGAGCTGGCCAAGTATGCCAAGCAGCACATTCCAGAGCAGCACCCCAAGGTGAGGGAGCATGGCTGGTGGCTGATCTCAGGAGCTGTGGGGACCCACAGCCCCACAGGAAAATGTGTGGGTGGGACAAAGGTGTCTGAAGGTACCGCCTTGAGGCCTCTGGGGAGATGGCAGCATGGTCAGGTAGCAGCAAGTTGTGTGCCAGCTCCAAAGTGAGTGGTGGTCCTGCCTCTGGGACAGGACAAGCCAGACTTTGTGAAGCGACGCGTGCGGAAGCTGCTGACGGCTGGTGTGGTGTCTGCTCTGGCCTGTGTGGTGAAGAGTGAGAACCCAGCACTGACCAACTCCTGTCGGGAGCTGATTTCCAGGTACGGGGCAGAGCATGGTGGGAGCTGCCTTGAGTTTGCCCTGCCTGCAGGCTTGGTGCTTCTGGTGAACCCAGGCTTCTGGGAGCAGAAGGGAGTGTGTGGGCATCCAGTAGTGCTTGGGCTTAGTGTCAGTTACTGGGTGGTGCTGGTGCAAGTCCTCAGTTCCAACTACTGCTGCCCTGTCTGCAGGGTGTTCTTGGCCCTGGTGGCAGAGGCAGAGGACCGAGGCGGTGTGGTCGCACAGGGAGGAGGAAAGGTGAGCTGACGGGTGCTACAGTGCCCCTGGCCTGCTCTATGGGAGGTCTGGAACTCATACATGAGCCTGGGAGCAGCTGAGGCTGCTGCGACCTGGCTGATGCATCTTCATCTGCAGGCTCTCATCCCGCTGTCCCTGGAGGGCACTGAAGTGGGGCAGACCAAGGCAGCTCAGGCCCTGGCAAAGATCACTATCACCTCCAACCCTGAGATGGCGTTCCCTGGAGAGCGGGTCGGTGTCACGGCTGTGGGCTGGGGAATGGACCCGCCCAAGGGACGGTCGGAGTATTGCAGGGCAGCAGAAGGGGCTGTGATGGAGCCTTGCTGCTGCTGCTGCAGACAGGCACCTGTCTGCGTGGGGAGGCGTGGGGCTGAGGAGGCGCAGTGGTCTCCATAGCGGCCTAACCTTCTAGGCCTGGTTGTATGAGCTCCTCTGCCTTTCTACTGTGCTCAGCCCCTGCTCTACCAGGGGCAGAGTTTGAGCCCTGTGCTGCTGTCTTCCACAGATCTACGAGGTGGTCCGGCCCCTGGTCAGCCTGCTGCACCTCCAGCGCTCAGGCCTGGAGAACTTTGAGGGGCTGATGGCACTGACCAACCTGGCTGGCATCAGCGAGCGGCTGCGGTATGGGCGTGGGGCAGGGGCTGGGCTGTTTCGGCTGGGGGGAGAGGGCAGGGGGCCAGCGCAGGGCGGGAGGCGCTCACTGCTGCCTTGCCGCAGGCAGAAGATCCTGAAGGAGAGGGCTGTGCCCATGATCGAGGGATACATGTTTGAGGAGCACGAGCTGATCCGCCTGGCTGCTACCGAGTGCATGTGCAACATGGCCATGAGCAAGGAGGTGAGGGCCGTCTGGGCCGAGGGCGCACAGCCCCCACTGTGTGGCGCCGCACTGTGAGCCCCCCCTCGCCTGCAGGTGCAGGAGCTGTTCCTGGACGAGGGCAGCGACCGCCTGAAGCTGATGGTTCTGTACAGTGGGGAGGAGGACGAGAAGCTGCGGCGGGCGGCCTCGGGGACGCTGGCCATGCTGACAGCGCTGCACCCCCCCGTCTGCAAGAGGATCCCGCGAGTGGTGAGTGTGGGGGCTGCCTGCGTGCGTCCCGTGCCCCGGGCTGCCCACGGGGGCGCCCTCTGCCCTGCGGCTCGGGGTGGGGGGGTGCCGCTCTCTGAGCACGTCACGCCGTGCCCGCAGACGGTGCACTGGCTGGAGATCCTGCAGGCGCTGCTACTGAGCCCCAGCGCCGAGCTGCAGCACCGCGGGGCCGTGGTGGTGATGAACATGATGGCGGCGGCGCGGGAGGTGGCCGAGCAGCTCATCGCCAGCGAGATGCTGGAGATCCTGTCGGTGCTGGCCAAGGACAAGGACAAACCCCGAGTGGCGCAGGCGGCCCAGGAGAGCCTGGAGCGGGCTGTGTCGTACGGCCTCATCGAGCCCAACCCGCGCCAGCAGTGATGCTGCCCCACTCGGGCTCACCGCGCTGCTCGGGTCCGCCTGCGGGGGGGCGGCACACCGCAACGCTGGGGCCGCGCCTCCGCCACCGCCACCGCCACCGCCACCGCCTGTGCCTTGCCGGCCTTCCGGCGCCGCACGACGCACTAAAGCTGCTCTTTAACGACGGCTCCGCCTCCCGTCCCTCCGGCCCCGCCTGCTCCCTTCCGCCGCCCTCCATGTTCTCCCCCCCGCCATGGCGGCTCAGCGCCGCTCCTGGTTCTTGTTCGGCCTCAGCGCCGAGGAGGCGGCGGGGGATGCGGGGCCGGGGCGGCACCGCGTGGAGCCGAGCGGCGACGGCATCCGCCGCGTGTGGCCCGCGTGGAGCTACGCCGTGCTGGAGACGGGTGAGCCCCCCCGGCCCCGAGTCTCCTGTGCGGTGCCGTCCTCCGACTCCCCTCGGTGCTCGGTTCCCCACGGGGTTCGGACCCCCCCGGGCCGCTGACCCCGCCGCTCCCGCAGGCTCCGGGCTGGAGGTGCTCAGCGCGGGGCGGCGGCGGCGGCTGCCCGAGGACTGCGAGGCGGCGCTGCCGTCGGAGACGCACGTGGTGCTGCTGAGGGGGGCGGTGGTCGAGGCGTGGCCCCGCGCCGCGGTGCTGCGGGGAGAGCTGCGGGGAGAGCCCGCGTGGAGCCGAGCGCTGCCGCCGGGATCGCGCCCCGCGCTGCCGCTGCTGCCGGACGGCTTCGTGGCCCCGCGGCCGCCCTTCTACACGGCGCTGCCCGGAGCGCTGCCGCTCCGCGCGTTGGCGCTGGGACACGAACACGTCGTGGGGCTGGGAGCGGCCGGGGAGGTGTACGGCTGGGGAGGCGGCAGGTGAGCGGGGCTGCGGGGGGTGCGGGGCGGAGGTGCGGCGGAGCCGTGTGGTGCCGTGGGTTCGAGGCTCCGTGGTGGCCGTGGGTTATTCGGCGCTATCAGATAACGAAGCGATCACCTGCTTAGGGAGCCGGCTGAGCGGTACGCGCACCCGTTAGCAACCCGAGCTCCCGCTGTTCCTCGTGCTGCTGCTACACATAAACACTGACTGCAATGAGTAACTTCGGTCTCGGTTCTTCGTTGCGCCCTGCAGACGCTGAGTGCCCCGCTGGGGCCCGGCGTGGCTCTGGGTCGGGGGGGGGGGGGGGGGGGGGGGGGG